ACTGTAAGTGTAGGAGACGTATAGTGACGTGTCTGTTATAAATGTCCCTCCTTGTCCGTCAAGCCGAGTTTTGGCGATATCCATGCGGGATATCTGTCTATCTCCCTCATCAAACGTAGCTGTCCACCATTCCTCTCCCCCCCCCCCCAGACTTGACTCAGTTGAGAATCTCAGAGTGACTGGCACCTCTCGTGCTGGTCTGCTTTACCCGATGGCTTATTTTTGTCGTCGTCGTTGTTGTTGTTGTTGTCGTCGTCATTGTTCATTGTTTAGTCTTGTGTGCAGGATAACAACCCCTCCCCCTCATCCTCCCTTCTCTTTTGTATAAATTTTGCAAGTGTGTACGTACGGGCGTACTATACGTGTATATACGTGTACGCCAATGTACGGGCTTCAATGCGAGTGTTTCCCCCCCCCCATGTACAACAATGTATGATGAACCTTTTTCCCCGTCTTATGCAACTGTATACATATTGGACTCTATGGAGGTTTTATGTTTCTATTGGCATGTGTACAAAAGATATTTTGTAATTTACCAATTGATATGATGAGTTGGAGCAGTGTATGGCTGACTCTTTGGAAGTTTAGAAAACCAAAAAATTGAATTGAATTGTGGGACTTGAAATGCTTGTGGACTTCCCAGCACTCTGTTACAATGTGTACCTAGGAGTACACGTTCAGATGTCTGCCCCGTCTCAAGAACTACTTGTCATTTACTTTGTCCATCAAATCTTTGTTGTTTTTTTTTACTGATTTGCATTTATTATATTATGGGATGTGTCAAAATCTGTCAAAAAGTGTTGTCATTTTTTTTTTCTTTTTTTTTTTTCTGATTATGCTTTGGTCACAGAGGTTTTACTCTACTACTACTATTACTATACGCGCCGACAAAAACACACTCAAACACACGTGCGCACACTCACGCACACGCGCGCGTACACACACACACACACACCCACCCACACACACACACACACACAATGTTATAATGACTCTATGTATGTTTAGAACAGTTGAGTCTGCCTCTCCACACCTTACTGTAGACTTTGCTGCTTGCTCGCCTTACACCGTCGGTCGTTGCCCTCGCCACCTTGTCTGTGCTGGTTCCTTTGTGTCTGTCTGTCTGTCTCCTTGTTGTTGTTGTTGTTGTTGTTGTTGTTGTGTGTGTTGTTGTGTATGTTTACTAGTGAACATTGGTGTGTGTGTACTAGTGAACATTGGTGTGTGTGTACTAGTGAACATTGGTGTGTGTGTACTAGTGAACATTGGTGTGTGTGTACTAGTGAACATTGGTGTTTGCATTTTAATAAATGTTGTTGTCTGTGCACCAGTGAACTTTGGTGTATGTGCACCAGTGAACTTTGGTGTGTGCGTATGTGTGTGTGTGCGCGCGCGCGTGTGTGTATGTATGTATCAGTGAATGTTGGTATGCTCTAGGGGACACATTTCGAGTTTTGCCTGTACAGAAAGGAAGATAAAAGCGATGTAATCCAGAGGCTGTGGACCTCTCTATAGGCGGACATGGATAACTCAAAACATGTTGTGGATTGGAAAAAATGTGTCTGACCCATCCATAAGTTGGGGAAACCAATATAGTCGAAAATAAATAGATATGTCGGTTAGGGAATGGCGAATTTGGTAGGAGCTATTGATGATTTGGAATTTTCCGTGTTCGTGTTATATGAGCGGGTTTTTCTGTGTGCAATGACGGACAGCCCAGTCCCCAATGCCGTGACAAAAGGGCATAAATAGAAACACATTGTGTGTTGTTGGTGAGCAATGTTGACCTAACTTTGTGCAGAAGCTTGTAGTGGATGGTGGGAGAACAACTGGAATAACTGAGCTTTGATTTCCATTTGTTTAACTTCCTTTCAACTACCATGAATGGCAAAATGCACCATCCACGCCCCTTGCTTCTGACTAGTTGTACCGACACAGTCAGGGAATTGGCTGACAGATTGTTGGCCTTTGAAAAAAACTAGAAAATTTGTGCATCAAGTGAAGGCTGTCGCAGAAGTTGTGAACATTTTTGTGGTGGCCTGTTCCTTGAGTGTGTGGACATGAGCTGTTTGTTCCGTTGAAAGTGAAAGTGTGACGTGAGGAGGTTTGAGTACTGGGAGAGATTTATCCCTGCAATAGGCTACTGTTTTGTCGGTGGTTTTTTAGTTTTTTTACTTGTGTGTGCATGTGTCTGTGTTTTGTGTGTCCGTGTTTATGTGGCAGGTAATGAGCTACGGGTGAGGGCGTACTTTTTCACACGACGTGCAATTGTGTAGATGAAACGTACGTTGTTCTGAGGTGAAAAACTTTTACTGCGGTGTGAGTCGTCGGCATTCTTTCCACGAGGTCAGTGCATGCGTCTGTGATGTTGCTATAAATAGATTGTCATCTACACTACTGGAATCGGACGTGTTGTGCTCCGTGCGTCGCCACGCTCGTGCTGGCGCGCGGAGAAGCCAGGCGGTCCTGCCTGCCTGGCGTGTCACATGTCTGTGTGGTGTAGCTGGCAAGTCGCGTGGCTCTATCTATCTAGTCCTACCATTTCGCTGTGACTTTGTAACATATATAACTATAACTATACACCTGCCTCTGTTTGTTTCCCCTCTCTGTTTCCATTTTTAAGTTATTTTTGGCTGCGCCTTTGTGTCTCTGGTGTCACAGTGGCCAACGTGACAGAGCTCATGTACAACTGATTATGTCATGTAGTTTTTGGTGGTTTTTGTAACAGAATGTGAATGAGAAAACTGATTGTTACAGCTGATGTGTGCCTGTCATGTGTGTGTGTTTGTTGAATCATGGGAGGTGGGGGGGGGGGG